CCCCATAAGTCGAAACTCGTGCGGGGTTAGGTAAGCATACAAACACAAACGTTTATGGCCTAACAAGGATTCGAACCTATGTGTCGTATGCTATTTTATTGAGTTACAAGATTCAACATGACGTCAAAAACTCTTGTATTTTCGATCGACAATCACAGCGTAGAATATGCACAATCTGAAGAAATTTGAACGAATCAGATGAGTAAACTCTACTCGTGTGAGTGTACGTATTCGAACCTTTTCGAACGCACCCCTGAGCCTGAGCACTAAATTCCCTGGACCGACTGGACCCATGTTTGCATATTGCATATTATCACAGTTATATTAACACTGGAATCTCAGTGGGCTGTTCTATTTTCTCTGGCGTGTTTCTTTTGAACGTACAAATACCAATGAATAATAATGAAACCCCATAGAACGGGCGGGCTAATTTGAATGTTGATGAACCTTTCGGGATGGCGGGTATCCGATAAGCAAATGTTTGCGGGATTTCTACCGGGTTTTCCTTGATTGGCGGGCGTTTCAGGGCGGTGGCAACAGGTTAGTCTCAATTTCGATGATAGCTCTATGTAATAAGCGATGATCTAACGCGAATTGAAGCCCCAAATCACCAGATTTGTGATTACGACCACAGAAGATGGATAAGCTTTTATTATCAAAACGCGTTTCGATAGAATACCTATTTGAAATAATATCTTTATTTCGCTTCAAATTCTAGAATGAAATCTACCACTTAGTCTGGTGAGAATAGGGATAGTTCTTCGATAATTACTTTCTCATTTTCAGTTCAAGTAAATACTCACGTACATGAAAAAAAAGGAATTGTTGAATCAAGCAAAATTTGATTGAATGGAGCAAATTAAAGTGTCATATATGCACGACAAAATATAATCTTGAAATGAGTAAATCTATATCTTGTTTCAGAGCGAATTTGAAGTTTGAACCAAGTAAATATGTCTTGCATGAACTCTGGATCTTCTTCAATCGAGCACATCAATGAATTGTTTATGAAGAGATATTGAATTGGCTCAAACAACCATTTTGTTGATTCAACGTAATATTTGGTTGATTCAATGAAATATTTGGTTGATTCAATGAAATATTTGGTTAATTCAATGGAATATTTTGTTGATTCAAGAGAAACTATATATCCATCCATTCGACAAATTGATTTGTTGAACCAAATTCAATATTCGGGAATTTTCTGAAATTTCACATCAATAGGATAAACAAAACTAGGAAACTAGTCGACTCGTAGCATGGATCTTCAGTCTTTACTTCTCTTTAGCTGATGCAAAACTATTTTGGATTGCTAATCATCCTAAGTTCGATTTATCCAGCTGATATTTCAACTACGACGAATCAGGCTTCACGTATAAGTATAATGAATTCGAGGCAGGCATAGACGAGGCGAACTGATCGCCATCTAGAGGCGAAAATTTAAGTTGATGTAGAATGAACAAAATATTTCATTGATATTACATATTTCGCTGCTCTATTCAAGCAAATGATCCGTTCGAAACGAGTTCATTGCTACATCGGAATAAGAAAACTTGTATATTGTTTCAAAGATATATTCTCATCAAACTCGTCCGTCATATTGGATCCACCAATTTGAATTTCCAAATTTCGACAAACAAATCGTAATGTCTGACCCCAAAAACCCCCAGATTAAAATTTTGAATGAAAACTTGTCCGCGATATTGGATCCGCCATCTTGAAGTTAAGAAATGAAGGGCCCATGCCCTGAGAACGAGCATTTTTTAAAAGTGCGCGTTCTTTCCTCCTTCCTGTTGATTTATATTTCCAATCGTTATAGCTGTAGGTCCAAGCTAATTCCTGAAGGAAATGATCGATTATACCAGCATATACCAATTTTCAAGTTTTTAATAAAATTTTTCTACTCACATAGCTAAAATGGCATTTAGCGTACGGATATGTACCACGCTAAATGATCTATTAATCACGGATTGTCGATCTGTGATTTATTCAAAATATTAAACACGTTACCATGATGGCAACACGATTTCTTAAACACATTACCATGGCAACGCAGTTCATTAAACACGGCTTCAGTAATTTGAGACATGTCTGGCCTGCTGTCAATTGTATTAACTGTCAACTGTTATTTTCGAATTTTTTATTAGAATTATTCAAACAATTTTCGTTTGTATCAGAATTCTTCATTAAAAATATATGCGATAAGTAGACGAGAGTGAAATCGAAGAGAATGTTCTGGTACTTGCATATCTCCAAGAAGTGTAAAAATGAAGCATCCATCTTTGAGAACAATTTATTTATTCTGCGCTAAGCATGACAATAAACGTGAAACAATAAAGGTTAGTAACCAATGGACTGGACACATCTACAACCATTATCACTTATACGTGTCTCGCTGGTTGCATGCAGTTGCATGTATTATGTTCTCAATTCCCATTCCTTTCGAATCATTTTGTAGGTTAGCAGGAATTGCAGGTATGTTATTGTAATTTTCGGAGTTCGTAGAAAAATCATAGTATGTAACGCGTTTATAAACACTTCCAGACACTCGTTTATTAAACACTCGCTCCGCTATGCTCCGCTCGTGCTCAAACTACTCGTTACTAAAAGGACGTTTATAACACTTGTTACATAATATACTATTAATGCAAGTTGGAAAACTTCTAATGTGTGGGCTATACCTAAATCAATCCCTAGGTTGTTCCACAAGACAAAAATGGATCTCACCAACCCGGTATGTGGCTGATTGAATTTCCATGACTAGAGGAATTTTCAAATTACCCTACACGAACTCTCCAATATTCAACTGGCCCTTTTTCGACAAAAACCTTCAAGAAAACTCCTGGATTCTTCCGGGCAGTAACGAAGCAGGGTCACAGCTTGCTTTGATCGTGCATGTCGAAAACAAACCCGGCGAAAATGCGGTAATGGAAATTGCGGTTTTCACGATTTCCACGAAACCGAAGATACACAATTTCAGAGAGGCGTTGGTAACCAATATTCGATATACGCGAAGGGATCATTAGAGAGAAATTTGTTCAAGAATGTCTTGAATAATATTGTATTGGGAAACGGAAAGAAATTGTATGAAAGGTTTTAAAGTTTGCACGACCCCAAGAGTGTATCATCCCTTAGATATTCAAGAACGCTCGATAGCCCCAAATATTGAGGTTTTGAAATGTACCCGGTGTACCAAATTTCAATTCATTATTTTGAAGAATGTAGGAGAAAATTTGAAGAACACAAGAAGAATCTCAAACTTTGGAACCCCCTATATTGGAAAAGATGTTCCCACGCATATATGTTTACATAAGATTTTCAACATAAAAAATGTGTCTTTGAGCTGTGACAATCCAGCTGCAAAATACGGACTCGAGAAATAAAGTATAATTATATGTAAATTATTTTTGGCATTTATCTTGAAACCCCATACAGTTTTGGAAAAAGCAAAACGAAGCAAAAAGAACCCAAATTGAAGGAAGAATTTAAATTGATGTTTCATAGTAAACAGAGGCGGTACGCAAAACAATTCGAGAGGGTACGAACCTCAAAAGTGTATCAGCCTGTAGGTATTCAAGAATGCTCGATAGCCTCAAATATTGTGTTCCCAAAGTGTGAAATTTGAATTCATTATTTCGGAAATTGTAGGAGAAAATTGGAAAAAACAAAAAAATTTCAAACTTTGAAATTCTGTAAATATCGGAAACGATCGAAACTTCCACGCATATTACATAGAATATTCGATCTTCTTGAAAAATGTCTTCTCTCAGTCCTGCTACAAAAAACTGACTCACCTTATAAATACGTGGAAATATGGTTTATCGATATTAACTCAGAATGATGAAATACATGCATTATTCAGCAGACCGTACACGTTTTAATGAATGAAATATCGGCATATTTATCCTTTGTACAAACATCGACACAATGTCGATCAATTTTCAATTATCAATGTGTAAAACTCGTTAGCAGAAAGTCTAGATACTCCATCTCTTTGTGCCCTATCAAGCACGAGTGACGTTTATAGTATCATCGTATTGAGGGTACATTCACCTGTTGATTACCTTCCGTTTCTATAGATTATACTCGCACAGGTTCAAGATATACAGGGTGTTTCAAAAAAACCTAACCACCCTGCTAGGGTAGGTAGAACATTGCAAAGTAAGTTGGGTTTGCTCAGTGAAAAAATGTGGTAACGGCATCCGTTTTCATGATACAAGGTGTTGAAAAAATAATTTTTTTACACATTTTTCACGATTATTCCGAAACTACTGGCAACATTGTAATGAAATTTTGTATGGATGTTTCTCGAAATCTGACACATCGCATGAATTAATTTTTATATCTGACTCTCATAGAGGGCACTAGTTACACGGTTCGTACCGAGTAGTTTTCAACATAACTTTTTTGAGGTTAGATTTTTCATTCCAAATATGATATGAACTTGAACATCATTCAATTTTACACCAAAAAGGTGTTATTTGTCTCACTAGGCAGCAAAGTAGTAGATTGACTGCCACGGCTGATAGCATCGATTCATAACCGAGCGTGGCGAGGCTAGGAATTCAGGCAAGGCAGTCAATCTATATTTGCTGCCGTGTGAAACATATAATTTTCATTCCAAATGTTATGAAACCAATTTTGTGTATTTTTTTCATGGAAAACTCCATCAATTTGTGTTCACCCAATGTCAGTGTCAATTTTGATAACCAATTTCATTCAAAATACTTGGAACGTTGCATGGCAACAAACTTTTCCTGCCTAGACAGAGAAAGAACACCTTTCCTGCCTGTTAAATGTCCATAGAAAAGCCACTGTTTATGCCGCTTGCAGAAAAAATTGAATTCATTGTACCGTGTATGTTTCTCATGGAACATGTTCTTAGTCAGCACCCATTCATCAACGTACCTAATTCAATAATTATGATGAGTTGACGGTTCCAACTCACGAAAATACCAATTAGTATTCCACTAATTTCTCAATTATCATTCATTTTTCAGACTGGATATGGCACACTGACCTCGACTTCATCATAATGCACCGAGACCGGATGGTGTTCCTCAGCTTTATGACGTCCAACAGCACCAACGTCACGTTCACCGTCAGCCCCAGCAGGATGACGTCATCGTCAATGGGCGCCTTGAAGCCCAGCGCCATGCCCTTCGTCGCAGATCCCCACGTGACCCACACCGTGATGAAGACCTTGAAGGATTTCATCGGCCACGAGAATCACACCATGTTCGAGAACAAGAATTTCGGTGAGTAGGCTTCACAAAATTCATAACCCTAAGGCTTTTTATTAAATTAGCATATAGCCTTCTGGCTATCTATCGCAGTGTGATGGCACTGCGAAATTTTCAGATCGACATTAGGTCTGCCATCAAAATCATATCGAGTTCTTTACCATAGCCTCGCTTTTTCTATTATGAGACTCCATAGGCTAGCATTCAGATCCCCTGTGCATCTTTGAGCTCTCGGTTTATCCTCGCCCAGCGTAAGGAACCTTAGTCTTGACAACCCCTCACAGAGGCAACCAATATGTACTGCTGTTTCCTCCTCTTCCTGGGCAAAACCTGCACAGCAGTTCTTCAGTTAGACCTAACGTGCTCATGTATTTGTTGAGCCATTGTCGATCTAAATGACAAGTTGAGCCTACATTGCCCTGTGAGAAGTTCCAATAATATTCTAGTTAAGCTTCGTTTCTGTGGATATTGGCTATGGTTTTTGAATAAACACCTTTGCCTGTCTCATCTTTTTTATCTCTTGGAGCGCACGGAAGTCAATTCCTATGATGGTCGAAGAATATCGTCCGTACATAGGCAGGACAGGGAGAGAAAGTAGGTATGGATTTTTTCAACTTTTGGAGGTTAGGTTAGGTTAGCAGAGATTTCTGAAGAACATTTTCTGTGGAAGTACCTATTGAAAAGTGTGACATCACCCACCAGTCAAATGGCACTTCTCTGGATTCAATCTAAGTGCAACAGCGTATGTTTGGGTGCTGAACCCCATATGTGAAAACAGAACCATCAGTATCTGTGCTTTATAAATCATGAGAAGCTGTTGAGGTGTGAAGGAGATTTTCACACGGATTGAAAATCCGAGTATTTGTGAAGCAGCTTTTGCGATGGATCGGATATGATTCTTCCATGAAAAAGTATTGCTGATAGAAATACCGAGCATAGATGTCCTGTAGTGGTCTTGGTGTGAATGGTGGTACCAGATTTTGTTATATCATCAGGCATACTGAGTTCCGCCTTTTGGTGCCCTTGAATTCCTGTCTTGGTTGTTGTTCCACCATTCTTGAGATTTGGTTCACATCGATGATTCGATGCTTGTCTTTTTTATAGCTTTCGCAATACCACGAAAGCGTTCTGCTAGTGAATCTGTCTTTTTGTTGCCCTCATACCCTGTACCCTGTATATCCTGGTATCCTGTTCTGACTGCCCAGTTCATTCAGTGTTTCTGAGCAGTCACACACTAGTTCTGGTCTTATTCTATGGCCGGGTAAGTAGATAATAAATTTGTCTTGACAACAATCTGAACTTCCTGAAACATGTTGAAGCGCAGAGCAAAGATTCTCATGGTGTTATGACTGTAATGCCTCGCACGTGTGGATTGAACGAATTGAGTATGACAACGGATAAAATAGTATGGCATCCCAATCTATGGAACTTGCAATAGACAGTACTTCAACATGATCATTACTTCAAAAAAAGGGCCTAGGGTCTCCTGTGAGGAACTTGTCAGGAAACAGAAGATTCTTACTCCTGTTGATTCAGGAAACGGTATGTTTAGTTCATAAAAACCTACATTGTGATAAGTATATGTATTATACCAATTTTGGATCTATCTATAATCTGACGAAGAACTCGCTGATTTACAAGGCAGCTAAACCATTCAACCATCTTCCAATACGCGTTAAAACCATTGAGTCACCACTTTTATTTAGGAGATCAGTAGAAATGATTCTGACAAAAGAGGTATTCTATGAAGTCAATGAATTCCTCAACAAAAGCTTTATTTTACGGCTATAACACAAAATTGCTCTTGTTTTACAGTGTTCGATACATCGATGAGGTACTTTGTATGTCATCAATTTTATTTCAGTATCTGATATTACAATGACTCCATTGTGTTATTATTTCAAAGCAATGACAGCTCTGTCTTATAGATGACCATCAATTGGGAGGAAATCATATGGCTACAAGACGAAGAAATCAAGATTGTCGCTGTTGATTGTTACAGCCGTAGAAAAATTATATTGTATAACTCGCAAGGAATTCTAATTTCCCACTCGAATGATTGCAGCATTCGCATACGGCTCATGCTGCAAACTTCATTCACGTGGGAAATCACTATCATTCCGTGCTCGTTAAACAGTAGACTATACTCAAACATAATTTCATAATCCTTGTACCTTTTGTTGCCTTTCTTATTCTATTGTAAAAATGTATATCTACTATTTATTTTAAGTGTTGTGTTCCGTTCATGAACATGTTTGACTTCATTTTATAATAACTTAGCATGTCCTCAGGACTTTGTCGATGAAATTATATCTTCAGACAGTATCTCCATCCGTAGAAATGGAGTTCATGGTTTACTATTTAGAAGTGACTATACCTATCAATCAATGATACATTTTTAAGCTGGGTTGGGCATCCTAACACTGAAGGCGATACTCCACTATAGTAATTTATCTTCTGTAAAATATCTCTCGGTATTTTTCCGGCAAATCGTCGACTATTTTTCCACCGCGGAAGGATTTCCACAGAAGGAAAACCTTTCAGAGCCCGATCGATGCCACATAATGCGGCATACAACATTGTTGAAGAGGATTTAATAGCAGACTTTCCAACATCGAGGCCTCTTGACGATTACCGGTCTTTTTTCGGATTGTTCGGCAGTGGAAAAAAGTGGACGAAATACAGTGGGAGTTGCCGATTATGAATGGGAGCGTTTCGAGGAGTGTAGGAGTACGGGGAGTTGGGAGTTGAGACACTTGAAATGGAAATGTTTCTTCGGGTGCGGATCTCAGGAGGCCTGGCATATTCTTTTGTATATCGTTGGCATAGGGACAAATTTTCCATGCATATAAATTGCGCTGTATATCCTTGTTATTGGATGATTTCATTGATACAAGACTCATAATTGTACACTCATCATTCACTTCAAATCTATAGAGTTGTGTTTTCATTAGTGGAATTCAGAATGATACCACAATATGAGAAAATCCTCGGAAAATCTAGAGTCCTCCACCACAAATATTCAAGTACGAATATCAGCAGGGCCTATATTTGATTTAGTTGGGCCCGAGCAAAGTTTCGGGCATCCAATATAATATAATATGACTATCCAATAAGAATTTCCTGCAGTTTTTTTGTTATTTCATGATGAGAAACAAGTATTTTGATGGAAGTTTGATCCTAAATTCATTAATTTTGATGAATATGATGGCGGAATAGAGAATTTTTATTTGAAAAACGAGTTGAACATTTTAATTTTCACGATTCACTGTTGCGTACCAATTAACAGTACAGAGCCTAAGGTATCGTATAGAGTCAGTAAGAAGCCTACAAATAATACTCATGGTACTGAAGGACCTCTCATAAGGTCAATAGCCAGTTGGAATGTACGAACATACCAACAAAGTAGGTATATTATAAAAAATGGTTACCATAATATTTGTAAAAAGTTTGACCAAATCTTATATTAGACAAATAAATTACGTAGTGCGAAAAAAAAACGAGCAAGAAACCGATATTTTATCAATACTGAAAAAACAAAAACCACACAACAAACATTGAAAGGCAGGTTTGCTTGTGCTTGAGGAACAATGCACAAAATGAAAAATTATCAATAAAAATAAAATATTTTTCATTTGGAATTTCGAAAACCATTGATGATGGCTGAAATTGGGTTGAAACAAACGCTTTCAGTATCTGTGAAAACAATACGAGGTTCTATACTACTAATACAAAGAGAAATCGATATCATCACATTGAATCTCATAAAAAGTTGCCATGGAAAAGCATTTCCAGATTTTCTATATTTCAATAATATAACGTAGGAAGAAATTGAATTGAAAGATATTTTTCAAAAACAACTTTTTTTCAAATAACTGAAAATCTTCAAATGATGTTGACTATTTCCAAAAGAAGTTGTTGGAATGACCCCCTGAATGCGCAATTTTTTTCTTATTCAACCGAATCCGTATCGCTGACCGTTTCTGAGATACCCATGCTGCATGTGCAACCTTATCTTGGTCACATTGTATATCAATATCATTCTCATACTAATCTTGATATGATTTTTTTCAATTTCAATTATCAGATACCGCTTATTTCTGTGAAAGAATTTGAATAGTTAATAATTATAGTTTTTTTCAAGCCTTTTCCGTGCCCCCTTTCCAGCGGGCCCAAAGCCCGGGACTCATGTGGCTTATGGTAAAAAATGCCCTGAATATTAGGTAGACAATGAAATAATTATTGGCAATATTTTAGGAAGAAGGTCACAAAATACTTACAAATTTGTGAACCATAGAAGTTTTTTTCATCTTTTGTGCGGCGCACGAAAAATAATCCCTATAATATTCGGAAAACATCGAGCGTTTCCTAGGGAGAGGAGGTACTTGATGGGTTCTTTTTCAACTTTAGGAGATTATGAGTTTTTGGGAATACTTCCTTCGGCGGAAAATTCCAAAGCTTTGCCGATCTATAGACTAACTAGTTTTGGTGAAGAGTCGTTCGACATAACTCAAGGTTAAAGATGCTAGTAATGGAATTATAGCAGAGATTTCTGAAGAACATTTCCCGTGGAAGTATCTATAGAAAGGTGAAAGGTCGCCTACTCTTCTACGATGTTCCAGCAAACTTTGTGGGAATGGTGGTACCAGACATTGAGTTCCGGCTTTCTAGAGAAAATTCAGGCTTTTCAGTTTTGGTGGCGTTCAATTTAACTATAGTTTGTGGTTCCCCAGTTGATAATTTGAAAAAATATAGTACATATGAAAACGAATTGAATCGTTAACATGTAGAATTGCGAGAGAAATATTTTTTGTGTGAAACTATTCCTCAGAAATTGAATGGTTATAAAGATAAATGAAAAAATTGTTTGCATCTAATGTTTTCAACGTGCAGTAATCAAACTCATCATTTTTGGAGAGCCTATTATTTGTATATTTGCAAAAAGATTATTTCAAAATTCTACGATGTATAGTTATTCATCATGCAATTTCGAATGACATGGTAATTCTTTATTT